CAGCTGCAGTCTCAGTCAGTAAGGAAAGTAAACTAAGCAGGTGTGGCCTCTGCAGATCTCTCTACAAAGCTGGGCAGCTTTGGGAATGGGATTGCTAGCTTCGTGTATGCCTCTGGAAAGACAGGCAGGAAGATGGCCAAAGTGCCTAGAGACATTTAGAACAAATTTGTAATCCCAGGACTAAGCAACATGAGGAAGAACAATTTCACGATGTGAGACAGTCCATGAGGAAGGGAATGCAAAAAATTAACTATCTGCAGGTACATGAGACTTTTGAATTACTTGAATATAAGTGTGTATTTACTGTTGAAAAAGCATGAGAAACAGTTGATTTGCACCTTGATCAAAAGAACACATTTCTTAATGGGAAACAGAGCCTGTTGTGAAAAACTAGGAAGGTTCTCCCAGGGAACTATGCATATGACTTATTTAAACCACATTTTGTAAAAAGAAATGTTTTGTAGAAAGAAATGTTTTATATTTGCTCTAGCTTATGTGGCCTGGACACTTTTGAGTAGATTGTACCAGTAAGACTATAAAACCCTGACAGTAATTAGTAAATGAAACCAGAAATGCCTCCACTAAAGACAGTTGCATAAAATAAAAGTGAAAACAGTGTGAGATCAGATCTGGGCCATCATTAGATCCAGAGGGGATCACCCTATGAAGTCAGTAGCAAGGTCACCACTAATGTTGCCCATCTGAGAACAATATCCAAAGAGCCAGTGGGAAGGGTCAGCAAGGAGAAACGAGAGAAAAATGTTACCCACTGTAAATGTAATACCAAAATAAGCCAGCTGGTCTGGGTGGGGCTTTTCCAGAGCTGTTCTAGCCTAGACTCTTCAAGCTTTACTCATGTATGATAAGCCATACCTGTAAGTGGACAGGTAAGTAAAAGGCATAGGTGGGTGAATGGGCACATCACTGACTGCTCATCTATGGCGGGTGTGGAGCTCTCTCACTGGCCTGGGCTACATCAGTGCAGTGACACTGATTTCAGGAATAGAGTCCACAATTTCTTTATATTTGGAAATCTCCCTTATGTTCTGGCAAGTTAAGTAGAGACATAACTCTGTGACTAATGCTAATGTTGCAGTAGTAAAATATCAGGCAAAAAATAGGAAAACCAGACCCACTTGCCCACAAGAATGATTTAATTGAACTTTCCGCTGTTCCAAAATAGGTATGTTTCACATCATAAAGAATTTTTCTGTCATGAAAATTATTTTTTTAAGGGGAGGGAGATTTTTGTTTGCAGCAAGCTGATTTTATTAGTAGGCAATTAAATAGTTCTTTGGATTGCTGTTCAAAATTAATTACTCATTAATGTGGAAAAAACAGCTATAGTCTTGCTGTGGATTCAGAGGTTTCCAACTGGGTGCATCCTATTCCAAGAAGAAAAAAAAGACCTAGAAAGAGTATTATAATTACTGTCATACAAAAACCTGCTTCAGTCCAGATGTAGAGGCCGATACCACAGAAATGTTAACATCTAGCAGTTTGCTGCAGGGCAATGACAAATGAATCTTACATATGTATGCAGAAGGGACATATTACGTGATCCTTCTAGAATCCCTTGGGTTTGTTTTCGTTTTTTCCAGATCTCCTACAGAAAATGCAAATTACAATAATCTGAGGTTTTGGACAGTGTCACAGACACCTCTGTATAAAACTTGGATCCTAACCTTGCATACCTAACCAACGTTGTCAACTCTGTACTCTCGCAAATAATTCCACTGAAAGTAATGAAATTAGTGGTGTGAGTAAATGTTAAAAGAACTGGCTCCTAATTTCAGGTTTTCCCCTTCAGCGTACAAACAAAGCTTGTTGCTCCCTGATGACTTAGGGGCTTGCAGTGAGGACAGAGGATTAACAGAAGTGTCAGGTGTTAGGAATCACATCTTCAGAAGTTCAGATCTATTTAACAAGGGAGACAATCCTTAAAATCAGAAAATAATAGTAATAATGATGACATGCTACGTGCAGAACTCCTACTGCAGTCAGTAGCAGCCTGCATGCAGAAAGATTTCAGAAGTATCATAGCTAACTTCCCTTTTTCTCCCAAAATATCATGAATTTGACCAAAGTCTATGTGGCTTCAGCCTTAATAAAAAACAATAAAATTCTGGGATGATTTAGGCTGGAACAACCTCTGAGTGACTTGTCTAATCCAAATCATTCCATTTCAATCCAAATTGATTTCATTATCCCTAAGTCATTTTATTTAAATAAATGGAGTCAGAAGAGATCACAGAGTTTAATTATTGGAAACACTGGTTGGCACTAAGTCTGGAATTAAAATTATTCACTTTGAAGTCCTTAAGTGCACAGTATGACAATACCAGTTGTCAAGGAACATTTTTTCCCTGGTTAAAAAGGACATGCTGAGCATAAAATGGAAAAATGAAACCTTGAATTATCCACATAAGATAACTCACTTTAATTCTTTTACCAAGTCATTTACTCTTCCATGCAGAGATAGGTGCAAGAACTCGGGCACACATTTCCTAAAATATAAAAATCTGAAATGACACCAAACAAAAGTTTGACTGATATGATTATTCATATTAAACAGTATTGGCCTCACTGTTGATGCTGTAGGAAAGCCAATAACAACTGTTCAACTGTTAAGACTTTAGATGGGTCATTTCCCTACAGAAGGGAATCAGGCTCATCAGACATCATCTGCCTCTGGTCACCTTCTTGTCCTTCATGTATATGGAAGCAGCAAGGTTTGGTTTTGCCACAGCTGACATGATGTTCTAAAACTGAGTCATATCCCCCCTCAACTTTCTTTCCTCCAAACTGAAGACCCTTGTCTATTTTTAGACACTCCTTGCAAGGCAACTCCTCTATCTCCTTGTTCAGTTTAGTTGCCTTTCTCTGTCTCTTCTTTAAACTCGCTACACTCGCCCTCTGGAGATAAACACTGGTCTGTGGCAATGCAGTGAGAGAGATCCTACTGGAGTGCCATACCATCATTCAAACAAAGTAAAGGCTTTTGGTTCATTCACTGATAGTTCAAAAAGATGGAGGAAAAGGAAAATAAGGAGTTTGGCTTGGCAATCTGGAAGCAGTCATGGGCATAGCAAAACAGAGAGAAAACAGTCCTGTATCTGCAGTGTATCTACAATGACTGGGCATTACAGTCAGTGAAATGGGCTGGAGTCCATCTTGCTTTGAGATTTAAAAAGTAATAGTACAACACTGAATATGACTTTAGAAAAGTATCTGTGAAGGAGACTATTCAACTGTTCAGCTTGTCCATTACTATTTCTTTAAACTATTATTGTGTGTGTATATATATATATATATATAAAAACTAACCCTCCATCCACAGAGAAAACTGCTTTGTGGGTGCTTCTGATATTTCTATTTGTAGATTATCTTATTTTGAAAAAATCTTTGCTCTATCCAGACACCTTAAAGTACCACCTAGATTTTCCCAAGAAGACAACCATTTTAAGAAGAGGTTTAGGACACTCCTGGAAGCAGAGATGCTGTTCTAAATCTAGTATATAACAAATTGTGTATCAGATTATTTGCTATAGTTACATGTAGTTTTCAGTTTTTCCTCTTGGCAGTTCTAAGTTTGCCACTTCCACTCACTGTCCCACAAAACTCTGTGTACTGGAAAGCATTCCAGCAGATCATCTACCACAAAAAAAAAAAAAAATTCATCTTAGTATAACTTCTTTCCATCTTGCACTGAGTGAGGGATTATTAGTACAAATAGCAGAAAAGAAGAATGTTTATTTTAGAGTGCTCACCTCTACAGCAACAGTCAAAAGCTGTAGAAGAAAAATAATGAAGTCTGAATCTCTCTTCAGACCAGTTTTTACACAGAACTATTCAGGGCAACATCTGATTTTTGGATAGAAAAATTACATGTAGATATGCAAGCCTCAAATCACCAAAACGATACCAACAATTTAATGTATCTTTTTTAATTATACAGAAAGTCCTCTCCCTATTATTCAAACATTAACAACTGATCCACTTAATACAAAACCAATTCCTCTACGCAAAACAGTAGAGAAATGTACCTTAATAATAATTAAACATTATTATTCAAAATTGACAATTGTTATGGTAACAGGTGTTCTGTCCTTGTTTCCTAGGCAGTATCTCCACACCATTGATACACCACAGCACACTTTCAATACACATGTATAAACCTGTCTACACGAGCCCTTCAGAAACAAATAGTACTGTTTCATTTCAGCTGTAGTAAGTTAAACAGCATTGAAATTATGTATGAACTATGAGGAACATTCAAAATCCTGAAGCCTATGTGGCATGAAGCAATACCAAAACAGTCTGTCCTCAACCTGAATGGGAGCTGCCTTGAAGGCAGTTCACCAGAAAACAATGCAAAGGCACTGGATTTCAGCCTATGCCAGACCTTTCTGCAAATTCCTCCCACACTCTTCTTTACAAGTATAGTAGCACCTACTGTTCCCTTAACCCACTGAATCCAGTGAATCATGTTCTTATACAGCCAAGGAAATCAGCAGTCCAGACTGTCTTCCCACTCTCAGTCTTCAGGCTCCACATCACTTAACTTTTCCATAATTTGTATATCCTTTACAGCAAATTGATATACAAACAACACATTTTTGACTACTGTCATGAACATGAGAAGGCTACAGAATGTACGTGGCTCAGAGACCTCACTTCAAAGTCAGGGAGCCATCTAACCTCAGCAAAGGAAACAAATTCAGGGTCATAATCATTTGCTGCTTCCACCTGCTGAAGAAGGAAGGGATTTATCTCAGCTCTGGATAACCTCTTTTAGGAACAAGGGCGTTACAGTGTGAGGGAGACAGAGCTGTGAGCCTGGTAGCTCTAACATGATCATAAAGTGAGGCAGGGGACTAATACCTTCTTCTAGCTGTTGTAACTGCTCAGTGACTAAGTGTCACTCCACTCTCCTATTAACTAACTCTCCTCAGAAATGAAAATAGTGCTGCCTGCTACTCAGCTCTTCTCCAGCCCATTTACTGTTTAGAATATAGAGACTGGTCTCTGCTTGATTCTTCTGGGGAAGATCGTGGGCCAGGTTCACGAACCCACCCTGAATCCTGACTGTCAGCTTCAGTAGCTGAAATAAAAATGAAGAATAAAACAAGGTCAGAGTTAAACACAAATAAACAAGCCAAAAAACCCCGAACACCGTTATTTCAGTTTGCATTATACCTGGTATCAATCACATTTCCAGATGTAAATTCTTAATGCAAGATTACTTTTGTCAATCCAGTTTGTTTTACAATCCTGTTAATTCAAAGGTGCTTGACATCAAGAGATGCAGGTCTCCGAACTCAGATACTGCCCTTCACACAGCAGCTGATTGTTTCATCCATGCTTAAAGAAACCTAGCAAGAGCGCTTCAAGGTGGCATGCGTTGAAGCTGCACTGGAGCAGAATTATGAGGCAGACTCTTTTGCCCGCCCAACCCCAGTGAATGTAGACCATGTCTTTTTAACACTCCCATGAATTCTCAAAGGCCCCGACAAACTGAGTAATCCCCTCTTCAAATCCAACTAGGGATTTTTATCTTAGAAAGTATTTACTTGACAATTTACATGAAAAAAAATCCCTCATTTCCTCACAGTCGACTTGGGGTTTTGTTGTTTTTTCTGCAGGTTGTTTTTTTAGAAAGCCAACAATCAAGCCCTATCCTCAGATGCTGAACTGGCTCTTTTACTGGACATACCTTGTGTTTATTTTGTCAAATTCCGTAACATTACCAGTCAATACTGCATGAAATTGTGTAACAACATGGCCTATACTTCACATCACTCTTGTAAACCTAACTGGCCTCCGTCATTCAACTGCAGCCTGCTACTGACTCCAATCTTTCTGGTAGCATGTTCTAGCCTTGGAAAATCTTTTTCAGACAGGACTTTTTTTGTTTGTTTGTTTTGTCTTCATCTCAGATTCCCTTCAGGACAGAGATCACAGACATTTCTTCTCATCAGCTGTCCTCTGCCAGAGTCTTCTATATCAATTTTCCTGCAACGGTTTTGCCAGAAAGCCCATTTTACCTCAATTCCATTTCACCTCAGTTCTGTTTCATCTCAGTTCTGGAGGTCTCTCTGGAGGAAAGATGTTCCCAAGTCTACTTGCAGGTTTGAGTCAGTTCCTTTCTTGGGAAGAAAGGCATGATGCAATCCTAACACATCCCTATGCACTAAATTACAGCTTTTCTTTTTTTCAAGCATCTTGAATACCAGAATCAAAGAATTATTAGTTTCACTGTAGCCTCCCTCTACATTTGCATCTTCTGCTGGCAAGTTATTTTGTATATGACCTCATAAAGAAGTATCCCCCCCTAACTGGGTCACAATTGCAAATTCCTATGTATCCTGGAGCACAAATGCTATGTAGCAGAATTAATTTGAACTTTCTCTGTAGTACTAAGAAAGCTGGATTGTTCTCTGAGCAGCACAATCCATGATGCATTGTTTCCTATGGCTTTGTGCCTGGGTTGTGATTTCCCTAGTGTGTAATAAGCGTTTAGGTCATTAGATAGCATTTTGCTCCCTGGGGGGGTGCTCTCATGACCTCTCTTCTTTATGCAGTTGCCTGTTTTAAAGTTTGTTTGGCCAGTACAACTTCACTCTACCAGTACAGCACTGGATTTCCTCTGTTTTCCTCATGCCATACCACTACTTCTCTCCATGCCCCCAACGTTTGTCTGCTACTCCCAGTTCTTTCCCATTCCCGCACACTCCAGCAGACCAGCTGCAGCTCCCCACAGGCTCTCTACCACTGCGGGTATCCCCCAGATCTTTTCTCCCTCCAAATCACAAAACCCATTAATCCTCACATACACTTTCTGGTTTGCCTGCCAGCCTTCAGTTCCCTCTCTTCCCCTCAAAGTCAGCCCATATTATATGCACACCAGTATCTCCTACATGCTGCATTAAAGTCCTAATGCCTTTATCAGCATCTTAAAAAAACTTTAAATTTTTACGATGTCTGTCCACCCCCCACATTGCCATGTTCTTCATATTCCTCTTGTCCACCACATTTCCTGCTTACTTTTCTTTGGCTTTGCAACCAGACAAGAAGCAGGTATGCTCTGACTGCTCTGAACATACGTGCCCACTGCTGGGCTGACTGGCAGGCACTTGGTTGTTGGCCAAGCTACACACACGTCAGTCAGAAACTGAGTGCAAGCTGACAGCCAGCCAAACACCATGACATGGCTGCAAACAAACCATTTTGTGGGAGGCATCTGTTTCCCTTGCAGATCAATATTGTGTAGGCCTGTGATCACAACAGATATGTTTGGCTGAAAATAACTAATGGGTTGAAAAGTTACAAGAGAACCAACATTAACAGAAAATGAGCCTGCATGAATCTTATGTTGTTAAGAAACCAGGCCAAAACCCCTCCAACTTATATTTTGTCCCACATAACCACCATCAACATCTTTTAAATTCGAATTAGATAATTATACTTCTCTATTTCTCCTCCCTCTTATACAAGAGATTTGATTTTTCACTGGGGGATATTGTCATCTGTTTCATAAACAGATTATCATTTTTTTAGTCTCATGTTCAAGAAGAGAAATAAAGTTGTATTTATTTATGTGCATTTTCAAAAAAAAATTAAAATAAAACTGGCTAGTCTTTCATGCAGTGCTAGTGGTTAATTCTCTGAGCAGTTCTACCCTCTTGTGGTCACAGCTAGCTGCAGCCAAAGGAAAAACTAAAATATAATCACAAATATGTCCACATGTAAGTACAATACATGAAAGAGACCCGAGAGACAGGCATAAAGACGTAACCTATGCCAGAAATTTAAAATCCTGTGAGATTCAATAAAACAACTTGAGAATTTGAAAATTCAATCTTTTACTTACGGCAATTAAATTCTAGGATTCTCAGATGAGCAAGCATGAATAATATGAATTTTTTACATCCGTATCTTTTTTTAACATGTCTAAATTGCAACAGAGCCAAATAATTTTAAGAGTATGTCCTGCAAACTAGATATTTAGAAAAATATTTTCATTTTGAGAACATCAACAGATCAAACTCTGGAATAGCTCTTGAGTCCTGGAGCCTTCAACGTCTGTGTGAGATTGAGGTGCTTGTCAGCTGGAAAGCCCAAGCATGCCAGGCTCCTTCCCCCAAGTCAGCCCTTCTAGAGCTGTACAAGTTGGCAATTTGTCTTGGGACTTCAGGATCTCAGTCCTGGCTTCATCACAGGGATCTGGGAACCCCTGTAAACTAGACAAAAATCAGGGTTTCTTGGGACTTGCTCCTCTGTGGTTAGATATTGAAACCATGTTAAAACTGGATCTCCCAGGGCTCATCTCATACATCCTTACCATGTGCTTCCATGGTTGTTTCAGACACGTTCACTGAAATGGGAGGTGAGATGTAATGAATCCCTGGCAGAAAGCTTGGTGGCATGAACTGAGGCAGAGGGGTGTAGTATCCTTGATGCTGATCTCCACCTCCATCTGGAATCTGTGGAAATACATGAAGCAAAGTATTTTCCATCTAAAGATTCTCTCCAGGATACATCTGCAGTATCAAAAAATTTGTTTCGATTTTTACCTGTGAATATTACATTTTTGTTGTCCATTTTATGGCCATATGCTGCCATGTCCATGCACAGATCAGCATGTGCAAAGCCTGAGCATAGTGTAACATGCTAAAACTGAGAAGTAGCAGCTTCTCAGACTGCCCTTCTGAAGTCCTCATCACTTGTTCTGGTGTCTCATTAGAGCAGTTGGTTTAAAGCAGGAGCAGCTCATCTTCACCACAGCCCTGGTGCACTTGACACTGAAAAAGTCTGAAGTCTTCACACAACAGAGAGGTGACCTAGGAAAATCCTCCTTGCAACCACCTCCCTGCTAGTTACAGGTCCCCCCCTGAGCCCAGTGAAGCAGAGGTTCTACCCACACTGAGGGGCTGCTGTGTACCACAGGGTGCCCCACAGGCCTGGTCTTCTGTGATCGCCAGACCTGTTACGGCATGACAAAAGTAATTCCATGTGCAAGGAGGTATTTCCATCCCTCAGAAACACCAGCATCAGAAAAACAGGAGCATTTTTCTCTTGACCTGGCCATGCACTCTGGTACAGACAGAACTTGTATGAGATCTTTCCATCTTTTTCAGGACAGTTAAAAATTAAGTTCAAAACCACACACAGTGATGGTCTAGACAAGGCATGCCCCAAACTGTGTGTATCTCCAGCCCACCGGGTTAATTTATCTGGACCTCAGACTGCTGCTAGCCACCTTCTTTCTCAAAAACCCCTAAAATATGACAAGGAATTTCTATGCAAGCATAATAAATCTAGTAATCTTGAGGCAGATCACTCTACCTTAACATGAACTGATGAATTGTATTCAGTGCAGACAGAACTGGCACATGGCAGCTGGAAATCTGGTAATGTGCCCAACTGTGGTACAAAAACTGGACACTACCAGTTTAAACAAACATGACAGCACTGAAAGGCACTGGGAGTCCCCCCCTCACACCATTACAACTGACAGGCAATTTAGCATCTTGTCTGTGTGGTTTAAAGGTATGGGCCCTATGCTGCTGAACATCATTTTTCATCTGAAACTTCTGTTAACTGCAAGTTTTCCACCGTTTCTGAGAACACAATTATCTCCAAACAGAAATATCCAACCATGTTGATTTGCTCCTTGTGGAAGCTAATCTTCCCCTGTTCTACGCAGCTGCGGTGCCCTGGCCAAGCCCTGACACTCTCCCTCCCCTTTAGATTTGTCCTGCATGGAAGAAGAGGAACATCCTAGTGCACTCTATGCTGGCACAACATGACCATATTAAGTGTCCAAATGCCATCATTCCACATGGCTGTGGCAGATGTTAGCAGGATATATAAGCCCCAAAGCACTTAATAAAATCTGCCCCCTTGCAAGTGCAGGGGTTTGTTCTTCTGGGTTCAGCTCAGAGAATTAACATCACCATTTGCTAATGTTTTCTTCAGCATAATGTATCAAAATGCTGTGAAGTAACTGATAATAGGTACTTTAACAGCAAGAAGGCAGTTAAAGACTGCAGTATTTCCAGAGGTAATTAAAAGATCAGCTACTTACTGACACAGAAGCTACATTCCCTGGCCCACAGTTGCTAGGAACATGTTGGAAACCGCTCTGAAGTGGTATCCCTCGAGGTGATGGTGCTGTCCTACAGGTTGACTCGTTGATGGCAAATCCCATAGGAAATGGGCGGTAAGGATACACTCCTGAACACCCAGGGTACACTTTTGGAGGTTCTCTCTGCAGGTATTCTGGGTTGGCCATGTATTCTGGAGGAAAAGCAGTGTGAGCTAGGAAACAATGAGAAAAGAATAAATAAAAAGTATCCTGGTAATTCTGTGGAGTTCAGTAGAAGTAGCTGCAGGACCAAATTCCACTCTCAGGCAGGAGAATCTGGCCCTCTGATCTCATGCTTAGCTCCTCGTGAATTTATTTTGTCATTTTTTATGGAACTGAGTAAGGGTGCAGCAGATGATTCTGTAACACTGACTTATCTTCTGCCTTGTGCATTGTGAAGCTAGTCCTTAGTACATCGTTCAGTACATCGGCAACAGCAAAACAACCTACTTTAGGATTTTTAACACTAGGAGAACATTAAAATATATAAATAAGAGTTCTAACTTCAATCCTATCTGTCATTTCTTAGGTTAATTTAGAGACAACAGGCAATTTCCGATGCAGGAATAAATTACTTCGTTTTTTATCTTGAATCTGGAATCTTATATGGCCTCTCTGAAGTCTTAAAAAAAAAAAAAAAGGGGTTATTTGAATACAAAGGTTATTTGAATACAAATAGGGTCTTTCTTATCTGCACATCCTCCTGTTGGTAGAAAAGTGGAAGAATTTGTTTCAAGGGTATGTATACTTCCAGAGTACTAGAATTACGCTATTTGTCCCTAACCTTTTTTTTTAAATTGGTCAGCAGGTTAAAAATGTTATTAAGGGAAAGACTGACAGGCACGTGTCATCCATAGACATAATTTTCTCAGGAAACAAAGCTAAAAAAAAAGGGAAACAGTTATTGACAGATTAGGTGGGAATTAAAGATGACTGAAGTAAATCTTTCCTCTGGGCTTCTCAGAACAGCATTTTGTCTTGCAGGCTGCCAACTCTCCTGAGGCTCAGACTAATGACTACTGCAGTCAGTAAGGATTTCTGTAAAATTACTATAGTAAATAGTAATAGTATGAAGTTACTGTAATAAATAGTAATAAACTAGACAAGTCACATGAAAGACTCTATTAAAGGAAGCAATTTAAGAGGTGACAGATCATGCAACTGTTCCACCTGTAAAATCTATGTTCTGCTCTTAAATACCAAATGCACTTTTATACCAAATGATCGCAGCCAAGTTCAGTTTTTGCTAAAGGAATTAAGGCCAAAAGGTCTTTTTCTTTTGCAGTGCTATCATAAAACGCTTGCTTCAGGCAACTGCAGCAGTAACTTCCCCATTTACCTGCCATCGCCGAGTTTTTTAGCATTTTTGATGCTGGAGGCTTGTGCCTGTGAATTTATAAACAGTGAGACAGCACTCGGAGAAACATAGACGAGCACCTGCAGTGCACAGTGGATCAGTTTGGTTTCCCTCCCAGACTAATTTCCCTCTCAGAGAAAAGCCACTTGCTGAAGCTTCAACTTTGCAGTAAGCAGCGAGGCTGAGCACATGGCTCCTGCCACTGCAGAGCTGCACGACCCACACTGCAGACCCTGCAAAACGGGAAATAAATGCAGGGTTGCACATTCAACATGGAAGCTGAGTACCTGTGTCCACTGAGGAAGGAAAGTGGGAGAGACAGCAGGAATAGCTCTCTGGGGAGCTGGAGCCTGAGGAACCTGCAGGTGCAAACTGCACAAGTGGCAGTGTTTGATGGGAGAAGGATGGCGAGGAAAGAGGGCAGAAGGGGGAAGGAGGCTCTGGGGACAAGGCCTTACCGTAGTCCCAGAAGGCAGGGCCGCTGGGAGGCAGCGGCGGCGGCCCCCTGCATGCCATGCCTTTGCTGTTGGCAGTGCTCTGGATGCCCTTCGTGTCCTCATGGCTGCTCTGCTCAGGGGCTCTGACTGCCCCGGCGGCCACCCCAAGGCCTTCTCCCAAGGGAGCGGGTCCTGTGGCCTCCTCAGCCGGGGTGTCGGGCACCTGCTGCCTCAGGGCCTTCTGGGCCGCCATGATCTTCTGGCGCTCGGTGATGAGGGAGCACTTGTCGCACGGGCAGAGCTTCCAGCGGCAGCGCCCGGCATGGCCCTTCACCGGCACCACGAAGCCGTGGTTACGGCAGCGGGAGCACTTGGGTGTCCGCAGTGCCGCCTTCACCGCTGCAGCCTCCTCAGCCTCCATGGCACACCTGCCTGGCACAGCCGGCCTGGCGCCTCCGGGCTCTTATACTGGGCAGGGCCGCTGCTGCCCCCGGCATGTAGCAACCTGGGCAGGCGAGCCCATGGTGGCGGGTGGGGAAGGCCCCGCTCTGGGGAGCCGGCTGGGCCCCGCCGGCCTCCCCTCCCTCAGCCAGGTGGCTGCAGCTGCCCGCCTCCCCCTGCGGCCCCTTGGTGCGGGCTGGAGCCAGAGCTCAGCCACGGGGGGCTGGAGCCAGGGGGAGAGCGGGGGGAACGTGCTGCACCTTTCAGTACATTCCCCTGTGCTGGTGCACGCACAGTTGGGGAGTTTGGGACGGGCGGGTCATGCACGTGAGAGAAATGCAGTGTCCCCTACAGTACTGCCTTAAGGGATAGTTTTCTCTTTTGGCACTTTTAACATCTGCACTCGCTTTCATACCTCTCATGCATTCGCTTTTAATATGCACAGGATTTCAGTTCCGTTTTGTTTCCAATTTGCAGCATGCTTCTCTTGATCAGGAGGAGTGACTGCCTCAGCAGAAAAAAAAAACAAACAAAACAACCCACTTTCATCATTCTGTTTTTCGAAACAAAGTACTCGGATGAAGGCAAAAACATATGTCATTCAACAGACCTGTTCCTTTTCTCAGAATTCCTTATTCACTTAGAAAAAAGGACAGGCTTACAATTAGAAATGCAGGGATGCTCTAGTTCCAGTATTGCTTAGAAAGCACTTGTTATTTGTTACTGCTCGTAGCTACAAACCCATGGTTTACACAGTAGCCCATTTCCAGGAGAAAACTTTCCACTTTGCAATGCAAGGCACAACACCGCTGATTTTTCTCACATATGCAATAGCTAACTCTGTTTTAAAATCCGGAGATGCCAATAGCTTCATCTACATTAAAGAGAATACCGTAAAAATAAACTACCAAGTAGCTGTGAAGTGTTTTACCAGTTTGTTTCCAAAGAACCAGGTAACATCTATCTGCCGCTCTGAAACAATTCGAATATGCAACAGTGTGTGTGTTTCGCAGCAGCCTTGCAGAAGCCCTTGCCTTTGGAGCAAACCTTTCTGCAAGGCTTGGTGCACCCTCAATATTGGGGGGCGGGGACATAGCAGATTTAAGAGATTTGGCAACACTGGTTTGCCTTAGCAGTGAGCAGCCAAGCGCTGGTGCCCTGCAACGCCCCGAGGCTCAGGCTAGATTCAGACTTCTCACTTTGCAAAAGACCCAGAAGCACTTTGCACTTGAGTCCTGCAAGTTGCCAGTAGGATTTTTTTTTCTCTCGGGGAGATGTTTTTTAAGTGCAATGTGGATATACAAACCCAGACTTGCTCTCCAAAGCAATTCAACCCCAAATCCTCCAAAGCACACAATTCCTAGGCCAGCCAGCCCAGCAGCAATCCCAGCCTGCAGATTTTGCTTACCCCAGTTGCGGACTGGGTCTTTGGTAGCTGCTTTTTGTGAGGTGTTCCCAGCCATGCCTTTACACCCATGCATTCAGGGATCCTGTGCAGGAGCAAGGCCAAATCTGCCCAGGCACACAGCAGGTCACTAGGAGAGACCACTGTAGTGCTCTGTAGAAACTGGGTGCTGGATTGCAGCACCTCCTTTTGTGAGTGGGAGGCAGCAAAGCACAACAGGCAAATGGCATCAGCTCCCTGTCCTTGGTTGCAGACCATTTTCCCCAGAAGACTTCTAAAGCTCTGTCTAGAAAGCCAACTTCAGGTGCATGGGCCTGTGTGCATTGTGGCTAAATATCTTTGAAAATTTGACCTGAAAATGTTACTCATTTCTTCCTAATTCAGAAAGGTACTTGGTTGATATGCCTTCAATTAGAAACTACTCTTAAATGAGTCTTGAAGTGCTGCCAGGGCCTTGATGTTCCTGTACTCATTCTAAACACTGACTCTGTATTAAATATAAACAGATAATATATTCCTAATTTTATGCTCCATATTTTTGCTGTATGTTGAGGATGTGCATGTTTAGCTGTAGAATGAAAGAGGATGGATGACACTTTTTAAAAAACTGTAATTATATTTTTCCATAGATACACAATCTGTGTTCATGTGGATACTTATGCGGTGGAGGAGAAAGGTAGGCTATGTACATTTTCTCCAGTAATTTTCTATTCTGAGTCACATAATACTATTGTTTGAGACATTTACTCAAACATACTTAAATTTATCTCTCTTCTCTCTCAAAAAAGGTATACCAGCCATGGGCTGTAACATTTACTCCATTAATAAACCATGTCTTTCAAAGTCATGTGGATTTTTCTTTTGAAGAATTTTCATCTAAGCATTCGGGACTTATTATACTTTCCATATAGTTTGTTTCAAACAAACTGCTTGAAGACTTGCTTTTTATAGAAAAGTGAACATTTTACTTTGCTTGTGAGGTAAATATTTATTTCTGCAGACAGTTCAAAGAATTCTGCTATTCCAATCCTGTTACATGTTTATATATACATTTGAGTTAGCTAAGCATACACAGTTAGCGAGACCATCAAACAGAGAAGACAGAAAAATTCAAAATAAATTTTTGGAATGAGAGAGAGAATTGTATGTGGATGCAGTTTCATGTCTATTATAATTTACTCCTTTATTCATATTTAAAAGAAAATGAGGCACAATAAAGACTTTTTCTGTAAAACTTACTCAGTTTACTCTAGCATTTTATGTAACATATGGTGGGAGTATAACAAAGCATGTACAGAGAGTTCTGTATTAAAATAGCATTTATAAGAATTAATATCTGGCCAAAATGAAAGGAAAGAAACCTGCTGATTTCATGTTATTGAAATCAATAGCAATAACGTCTCTGCTTCTTTCCAACTTCTAAATCATATAAAGTGTGTGGTTTGCGTATGCAGTTTGCTTTGTATGTGAAACAGTGAAGAAAAACAATGATTGAAAAACAACGATGAAAGGGAACAAATGAAAAGACTGTCTGCCTTTAAATTGAATAGTAGAAAATTGGGGTTTGTTTTTTCCTTCCTTCTCAGGCTCTCCAGCTAATATTTTATGCAGTAAATGTTTTTTTGGCAATAAAGTTGTTTTGCTTAGATGTGACATTTCACAGAGCAATAGCAACATAATCAAGAAATTTGTTCAATCTGAGATCTCCATTAACAATTATTTGCAAACTTGGTTCAAAATGAATGTTTTCTTCTGCATAACAATCAATAATATAAAAATAAGATCCTCTCTTCAAAATTTATTTTAGTGTTTGGAGGTGTCCATATGTACTTCCGTAAGTCATTATATAAAAATTGATATAGCGATAGTATTATCAACTCCTCTACATTATAACTGGTTAGTCCCAAGTTTATGGCTCTCTGTTATGGTATAATCAACATGAGGACACTTACCTGCACAGGCAGGACTGCCCAAGGAGCACTAGCCAGGCTTCAGATGCTCCCCAGCACCCTACACCCAACCCCCTTCTGTTATCCAGTCTTAACAAATACCTGGACTCCACCTGTGGATTGGTAACTGAGCTCCTGGTATCACTCACTTTGGGATTACAGGAAGCTATGGTGGCTTCCTGCACTGGCTGATGAGCTTGAAGGTTAATTTCCAATCACTTTCCAATTCCTTACTCAAGTCAGGTCTGGCCCATAGTGCTGGCAAGAAATCTCTAAACTGCCAAGAAACATCAATACTCCTTTCCCTGTCTTGTTGCTGGGAAGAAGTTGTTTTCACCACGTTAACAGGTCCCTGGTGTATTCCTTCATTCAAATATAGTTTGGTTATCTTCACACTATTCTGCAGTCATACATGTCTCTTCTGTCCACCCACATGGTTAGAAAACCAGGCTTCCTCCTGTCTAGATTAGGATACTGCAGTATCCTTTCCTCCAAATCCACATATGCAGTATTTTTCCACTCTTACACACTCAGAAGCCTTCAGCAAGGATTGGTCTGGATTATGTTGTGCAGCCTTTTGCCTTTCTGCCATTTCTCTTTTGCATTAGTTACATCCTGCTTGTCTTCCCTTTCACAAGGGAAGGAAAATCCCTTTCACATTTTATCCCTGTCATAGCTATCAGCTCATGTTCACTGTACACGTGTGGACTCTCACCTTCACCTGGCCCAGAATATAATTTTACTAAGTAGCACTGAGAGCACACCTTAATGCTTTCTTCTATAGTTATCCTTATATTTAGAAGGTCCTTATAAAAACCATCACAGCCTTTAAACCATCCTCTGACTGACCTGCATTACAAAATCTGCCTTTCACGTTCCAGCTAACACTAGTGGATATCCATCAGTGATACATGTCACAGAATTGCAAGGTTCAGCTACCCGCTGACATGCTTATGAGGTTGTCTAATCCTGCCCAAAGCAAGCCTACATGACAATGAATAAAGTTCTTTGAGTTGCTTCTGTAGACTATTTTTCACCTTTCTAACCACTGTGAAATTTTATGTAGCAAACATTTTTTTTTTTAAATGTGAGGAAAAGTGCAGAATAGAACAGTTCAATGTAATTAGGTTATATCTGAGATTTGAAATGACTAAAATGTGTTTGTGTTACACCATTTTTAAACCTGGTCCCAGTTAAGTTGTTTAAATTGATATAAACATATTTACCTTTTCAGTTCTCTTTCTGTGTCAATTCCTTTACTTTAAAATGTTGTCTTCAGTAATTCAAACAAGAATTCCATGGGGGTCGATTTTTTTGTTTTGTTACACAAGTTTTAAATGGAACACAGTTATATGTTGATTTTCATCATCTGTATCAAAAAGGGGAAACTCTATGCTATGATCAGAGAAAATTGGATGGAGTTCATACATAAGTTTAATATCTTAAAAATTTATAAAAGTTATATAAAGCACTTCTGGTTTCTTTAACAAACACAACAAAAAGCTTGAGTACTTAAAATTGTGGATCTTTTTAATATATATAAGAGGAAAACTTAGTTCTTAAATATTAACATCAGAGACTTTATTAGTATGACTGCTGTTTGTTTATTGTAACAAGATCTTTAAGAGAAAAGCAATAGTGATTAAACTGGAAAGTCTGTGATCTGGTTATTTCATGAGTACCAGAAGGGCAGGGTGGACCAGGAGAGAAATCAACCCCAGCAAGAAAACAAAACACATAACAGTTCTTATTCTGCATTAATATCTTTCTCATATAAGCAGGAAATAAAATGTATTAAGTGGAAAAGAATGAGACAGGCATAAATATGCATACCCAAATCATTTCCCCAAATGAGAGATGGAGTGTTTAAAAATCCCTATCTAGAAAAGAATAGATCTATTCTAAAAATTTTCTGTGGAAGATATTTGGTCAGTCTGCAATAAATAAGGATCACTGTATCATCGAAGCCTGATTGTTGCCTTGTAAGAAACTTAATAATTACCCCTTCAGAAGAAATCTTTTGTTTCTTTAGAAGGTCACCTTTATAGACATTGATAAAAAAGAGGAACTGAAAACTGAAAGAATAGTCCACTCTGTTAGTGCTATGACAGCTGCAGGGATGCCTTAGCTACAACACCTTTTTTACTTTAGTAAGCTCCCAAATTTAGCAGGTTTTAGCCTGAATACACTAGACTTGTCGATCAGTCTTCTGCCTAGAGAAATAAACACATTTTTAATCCAGAGTCCTCATTCTCCTTCCCCTCAGCTATAGTTCTTGTCATATTCTCTTAGACACAAAGAATGCAAAATCACATTTGAATTCTCCCAAATGGCAAAAAAGGGATTTCATGCAGAAACAGTCACGCTTGCCACAGTAAGTAGGTGGCCCGTTTAGAGTCATCTTTGCTTAGCACCTATTTTGTGCTGAAATTGTCATATTACCTTGTCAGCAAGCCTAAAGCAATGCTAATAGATGGATAAGGCAGAAGACAGCTGAAAGACTACTACAAACATCAAGTGTACTTGCTGTGGGCAGGATTCCATTTGTGATTGTCAACACCGGTATATATCCCACATTTTCTAACTGCAGTTCTCCACCTCACATCTGAATTAGATTTCAGAATATATGAAGTAGCTTAAACAATAAAAAATAAATAAACCCAGCTGTTTGCCATAATTTCTTTCTCTTCAGCCTGGACTCTTCACAGATATACTTCAATGAAGAAAATAAAAATGAAATGACCAAATAGTAGTTACTTATCAGCATAGCATGAAGACTATCATCAAAATGGTTACCTTGTAGAGAGAACAGACAATAATAGTGATGATTAATCTCTTGTATGCGGCTAGAATGGGTTTCTGGTATTCATAACAATAGCACATCATCTGCTTTTTGGGCATGATGCTGGAAATTGATAGACTCCCTGTGAGGTGCTAAAGCTTCTTTGCAGGCTCCTTAACCCCGTATGTCAGAGACAAACTGAGGTTTGTAGTGGGGAAGAGAAAACAAGCACTAGCACTGATGAACTTGCGTTAGCTGATTCCAGCCAGGTATAATGAAGGATGCTGTTCAGAAGCATTCCTTATCTTTTATGTTACTTCCATAAAA